ACCAGAGCCTATACCAATGCCTGAGTACCTCAGGTCCCTGAGCTCATCCAGCCGGCCTCCCTGTCTGGCACCATTTCACGCCGTTCAATGCTCTGCCACCGCAGGGGCAGCGCCGCTCCAGCGCGGCCAGGCGGCAGGCGCCAGCCGCTCCAGCGAGCCGGGCGGGCGGGCGGGCGGGCGGGCGGGCTGGCGGGCGAGGCGTCGTCGCTCACCCAGCTTCTTCACCAGCTTCTTGTTCTTGTTCAGCTTCTTCAGGTCGTCCACGGTCATGGCATCCACGCCCATGGCCTTGGCCTCCTCGCAATGCTTGTGGTCACCCAGCACGCACACCTGCAGGGGGGCGGTGCGGCAGCAGCGGCAGCAGCGGTGGGCACCAGGCTGGCCAGCACAATTTGGCTGTGCCTGTGCGCACAGGGTGTTGCCCGTCAGCGACACCCTGTGCGGTAGCAGCAGGCTGCCGGGAGTGGGCGGCCAGAGGGCGGAGTGCGCCCCAACACCGCTGCCTGCGTCTTTCAGGCGTGGCAGCACACCTTCATGCCCGGGCGCGGGCAGTAGGGCAGCTTCACGGAGCCGCTGAAACGCTTGTCCTTCTGCGGGTCATAGTTCTTCAGCCCGATCTGCAGCTCCACCGTCTCCGTGAACTTGCGCTGCTTGTCCTTGGCGCCGCCCAGCACGCCTGCAGGGGGAGAGCGGGCGGCGGCGGCGGGGTGAGCAGCGGCGGCTCGCCGGCCCTGATCTGCGTCCTCCCCAGGTGTTGCTGTAGCTCCACAGGGTCTCCAAGCCCTGCTAAGCCTCTCTTGCATGCCTCCGGCGGGGAAGCTCCCCGCCCCGCTGCAGGGCACACATCGCTGCCAAACGCACCGGCGATGCCCTCACGCAACACTTCGCCTGCAGGGAAGGGGCAGAGGGGGTTGGCAGTGGCCGCCGCAGGTCAGGCCCCGCAGTGCAGGACGGATGGGCTGCCGGGATGGACAAGTATGCAATCTGAGCCTGGTGCTGGAAGTGCAGGCGGGGCAGCGGCCCACGGGGCGGCCATGGCATGCGCAGGCCTCCCCTTAGTGAAGCCCCTGCGTTTTACAAGGTGCAGCAGACAGTACCTGATACTTTAGACATCTTGGCTTGCTCAGAGCTGTGCCCACAGCTGTGAAAGAGGCCGAGACTGGCCCCCATGCCGGCTACATGTTTTTCTCCTGAGGAAAGACCCAGGCCGGGCGCCCAAAGCGCTCCATCGGCACCCCCTGGCTGCTTGCCACACACAGGGATCGGGCTGGGAGCTGTTGGGGCGCCGCATGGCCGAGACGCTGCTGGTCACTCCTGGGGAGCGCCTGGCACTGGTTGTGAGTGCCCCACCACGCTGCTGCGCACCAGCGCGATCACAGTGTTGTACCGAGGAGCCCCACCGTTCCCCACAGCCCTGCCCATGCCGCCAGCGCTGCCGCTCCTGCTGCCGCCGCCGCCTCTTTCGACGACCCCACCCACCCTGCTTGCAGGCTGAATACGACGCCGGCAGCGGCACCTGCGTCAAGGACAAGTTCATCTGCGCCACGCTCGTGGGCTCCAAGCGCGTGTTGCCTGCAGGGGAGGGCGAGGCAGAGCAGGTGCGGCAGAGCACCTGCGGACACCACAGCAGCAGCGCTCGCACACATAACAATCAGCAGATGGGTGGCCAGCTGCAAGCCACATGCTCGACTCGCCGCATCACCTCTGCACCACCTCCCGCGTCGCCACTGTGCGCACCATGCCGTAGACTGCTGCTGCTGCTGCTGCTGCGCTGCTGCAGCGGCCTCGAGTGGAGGTCGTCCGCAGCGGCGTGGAGCCGGTGGTGCCGCGTGTGGGAGACACAGTCACCGCGCGCGTGGTGCGCATCAACCCGCGGCTGGCGGCAGGTGCGGGGGATGGTTGGGTCCCTGCGGGTGGTTGGCATGCACAGCTGGTGACCGCCAGCCCGTGCCGGCATCCTCCCGGCTCGCCCTGCCGCCTCCCCACTCCTTTACCGTGTGGCGTGCAGTGGACATCCTGTGCGTGGGCCCCAAGCCGGTACGGCAGCGGTACAGCGGCGTGATCCGCGTGCAGGACGTGAGGGCCACCGAGATTGACAAGGTGCAGGTGCAGGCCAGCTTCCGCCCCGGCGACGTCGTGCGCGCCGAGGTGCTGTCCCTGGGCGACGCCCGCTCCTACCACCTCACCACCGCCAAGAACCAGCTGGGCGTGGTGTACGCCAAGAGCGTGGCGGGTGGGTGCGCCGCCGCCCCATGCCTGCCGGCGTGTGCAGGCGGCCAGCCCACGCGCGCGGCGCCGCTCAACCTCGGCCTGCCGGCTGGGCCTGCCAGCCCGAGCGGGGGCTGCAATGCACGCCGGCCGCCGCCCCTTCCCTCCCCTGCAGGCGTGCCCATGGTGCCGATCAGCTGGCAGGAGATGCAGTGCCCCCACACCCGCGCCGTGGAGAACCGCAAGGTCGCTAAGCTGGACGCCTGAGCCTCCTGTAGCCGCCCAGACCTCGACCCAGAGCCGACCGCCTGAGCCTCCTGTAGCCTTGCCTGGACCTCAACCTTAGCAAGCAGCAGCCTAGTAGACCGTCATCCTTTCCATAGCAGCAGCCGGTCCCCCAGCGCCAGCCAGCGGCTGCAGCCTGCGAGGCCTTGCCCACGTGCGCGCACAGGCATGGGCCCCGCCGCGCGCCTCGAGCGCACCGTGTTTGTCACCGTCGGCACCACCAAGTTTGACGCGCTCATCCGCGCCGTGGACCAGCAGGCATTCGCCGACGTGCTGGTGGCGGCAGGGTACACGCGCCTCGTCATGCAGATTGGCAGGTGGGCAGGGGGTGAGGCGGTGGGAGGGCCGGGCAGGAGGCTTGTGTGGGCCCGGCAGGAGGAGGCCCGGCACAGGCTGCCGGCTGCCCACCCCGCATGCCCAGCGCGCGGCGCCCCGCCTGCTTGCCCTGCTGCGGTGGCGCAGGGCGGACTACACGCCCCGCCGCCTGCTGCCTCCCAACCGGCGCTCCGCGGCGCTGCACAACGGGCTGAGTGTGGAGTACTTTGACTTTGCGCCCTCGCTGGCGGAGCACCTGCGCGCCGCCGCGCTCGTCATCAGCCACGCGGGTGGGAAAGGGGGGTGGGGCGGCTGGGCGGGCCAGGCCGGCTTGCCTGCCCAGCCGCCTCCTGGACCATCCTGCAGGCATGCCGGCCGGCCTCCCTGCTCGTTGTGGCCGCCGCATTGCTAGCTAGCCCTGCCCCTGTCATTACTCGCCCTGCGCCCGCCGATTCGCCACTGGCGCCGCCCCCTGCGCCCCCTCCCGCAACATGCCTTGCGCTGCCTGGCGCCGTCTCCCCGCAGGCTCTGGCAGCATCTTTGAGGCGCTGCGCCTGCGCCTGCCGCTGGTGGTGGTGCCCAACCCTCTCCTCATGGACAACCACCAGGCGGAGCTGGCCACAAAGGTGGGGTTTGGGTGGGCATGGGATGGGCCGCGGGCTGCCCCGCTAGCCAGCGCGGGGCGCCGCCATGCACAGAAGACGCCGCGGTGGAGGGCAAGGGACCCCCTTCCTGCCCTTCTCGCTCCCTGCCTGCCCTGCCTGCCACAGCCTGCGCCCTTGACCTCCCCCGGGATATGCCCGGCCGCAGCTGGAGAGCGAGGGCTATCTGTTCGCGGCCACCACCGATGGCCTGGCGGCGGTGGTGGCGGGCATGAACCCCGCGCGCCTGGTGCCCTACGAGAAAGGCGACCCTGCCGGCATCGTGCGGCACATAGACGGCGTCATGGGCGTGCGGGCCAAGCCGCTGTAGCGAGCCTTTGTTGGCCCCAACATGGCCCCAGCTGCTACCACCACAACGCTAGCACCAGCTGTGGCGGCGCAGCCCGGCCGTTGTTGTTATCAGGGCTGGCTCCCTGTATGCTTAAAGTTAATCCTCCTTTAGCACGCTCAATTGACGACATCCATCCATTGACATACACGTATGTGTGATTCGTGATACATGACCGCCAGCGCCGCCCGTCCGCTGAGCCGCCGCAGCGCAGCAGACACCAGCCCCAGGGGAACTCCTCCTGGACAAACCCTTTTGCTCCTCGTCCCTCGGAGGCTTGCAGACCCATTTCCTAGCTGCGCAGAGCTACACTATGGAGACTCTTGGGCGCGAGGACATAGAGAGGTGCAGGCGGCTAGCACAGGATTGGCATGAACCTGGCACGCTACTGCGGGTGGCCTGGGGCGTGGGCAGCCCGCCTGATCGGCCATGCCCTGTGCTGCCTGCAGGCTGATGTTCTTTGAGCAGGCGCGGGAGCAGGCGGAGCGCGAGTTCAAGACAAACAACAAGGATGCGATGGTGCGGGTGGCGGCGCCGGGCGGGAGACAAGGCAGCCCTGAGTTGCCGCCGCTCGGCGCGCGAGCTGCAGCCTGGCTCTCCGCTCCTCCTCTCTGCAACGCCAGCTCTGTGCATTCAGGAACCATGCTGGTAGCTGGTGGCAGAGGGTTCCGGGTGCACACCCACGCGGCAGCGCAGGCGGCGCAGACGCACTCTGCCGGCGCCTCGCCGCCTGGGCTTCTGTCCGCTCACCTGCCAGCCCTTGCCGGCGTGCAGGCCCTGACCAAGTGGGGGGGCGCGCTGCTGGAGCTGGCCCACTTCCGGCAGGGCGGGGAGGCGTACGAGATGATTGAGGAGGCGATCGCCAAGTTTGAGCAGGTGGGCGGGCGGGGCGCCTGGGCTGGAGATGGGCGGCCATGCCTGCCTCGGCTGGAGACGGGCGGCCACGCCACCAGCCCTGCCCTGCCCCAGCCGGGTGCCGTGCCTGCCCCTGCCCTCGTCCTGCGCGGCGCAGGCTCTGGGGATTGACGAGAAGCGCCACGACGCGCTGTGGTGCCTGGGCAACGCCTACACGTCCCAGGGCTTTCTGTCGGCAGAGTCGGCCTCGGGTGGGTGGCCAGGCAGCAGCGGCGGGCCAGGGGCTAGGCGGGGGCGGGGCAGGCTGTGCTGCATGGGCTGGCGTCGGCTCCCTGCTCTCTGCCTGCGCCTCCCCGCCACCTCCATGCCACCGACCGCTCGCGCTCCTGCTGTGCCGCGCCGCGCCACGTCGCGTGCTGCCTGGCGTGCCCCGGCTTTGGGCCGCCCGCCCCCTGCCCGCCACCTCACCCGCGCCTCTGCCCCTTCCTGCGCCCGCGCCCCCTTACATTGCGGCCGCAGCCCGCCAGTACTTTGAGCGGGCGGGGGAGTGCTTCCGCAAGGCGGTGGATCTGGAGCCGGGCAACGAGTCGTACCGCCGAGCGCTGGACATGTCTTCCAAGGCGCCGCAGCTGTACCAGGAGCTGCAGCGGCAGCTGCAGGCGGCGGGCGCGGGCGGCGGCTCGCCGCGCGCCGCCGAGCCCCGCGCCTCCCCCAAGCAGGTGGGCCGGGGTCCCGCCGGATCCTGTGAGGGCGGCGCCGTGCCGCTACATGCCCGCCGCCGAGGATGGGCAGAGGACCTGAGGGGGCGGGGCGACATGCCGGCACCCCCCTCCTCTCGGAACGCGACCTGCCCCCTCTGCGACCCCACCCTCCACCACCCCACCGCCATCGCCCACCCGCCCACCCACCCCCCACACACACATACACACTCTCTCGCTCTGTCCCCCTGGGTGCAGAAAGGGGCTGGTCAGCTACTTTGGTACGACATCCGCG